ATATTGATTAAAACTTATTATAACTGACTAGAAAATTATAGTTTTGACTAAACTTTTAATCAAGATAACTTTCACTTGAATTTAAAATCTTAAAGCAGTGTGAGTTTTTTAGGTAACATGAACAGTATTGTAATTAAATAGTTTCATTTTTATATTAAAATAAAAATAAACTAGAGCTCACTCTTATTGGGGGAAATACATGATTATATATTATTCAACTTTTTTTAAATTAGTTTTACGAACAGTTTTTGAAAAGGAAAGTACCACGTGTTTCTATTAGAACTAGCTGACTCAATCACTTTTGGAATTTTTTTCTTTTAATATTAAATTAATTATATGTCTATAACTTAGCATATATAACGAAGTGTTTGTAAAGTACATCAAACCATGTAGTTATATATGAAACACATATTTTAATAATTCCATGAAAACTTACCATGTCTGCGTATTCATTAATGCCTTTTCTGTAAGAATGAATACCCAAATCAGCTTGAAGGTTGTGTTTTATGATATCTGCGACAGCTCTTTCCCAAACAAGACGTCTTGAAAACTCTTCTCTGCTACCATAGTTTTTTCCATAGATTCTCTATAGAAATATGTCACATTTTAACAACCTCAAAAGTAAATTCTGCTAAGGATTACAATTTCTTAACAAAATAAAGTATAACTTAAAGCCACATTTTTTTTATATTAAGCTATGTTATTTTTTCTTTAAATTTTCTAGTTTTCAATGACTAATTGCACACATGAGCTATGGATGTGCTAAACTTATGATTTCATCTCCCGACTTCATCATATGCAATAAACAAACTTTTAAAGAAAAATTAAAGTTTAGTTAGTCTTGAAATACATATGAATACCTCATAAATCTTTAAAAAAATTTCATATAAATTAAATAAAATAATAAGTTAATATTATAACAGAATAATAAGTCACTATAATAGAATAATAAATAATATAATGGAATAATAAGTTAAATAGAATTAATTAAATGTGCAAAAGAAATTTTAATGTTAAACAGTCGAGACTAATCAGAACGGATTAATGGATTAGGTATAGTATTTAAAATTAAGTGAATATTGTTTACATTTATTAATTACATTTATTAATATATTAATTATACAATTTTAAAAAAACAGTTTATAAACTTTTAATCTAAATTTTTCGAGTAACATATAACATTGTTTTCTGAAAATATTAATAAAATAAAAATTGTGTTAATGGGACAATATTTAATAACAACAAAGCTTCTCAGCTGCTGTTAAAGCTTTAATTTAATTAAACATTTAAATTCTAACGTGTTTTTTTTTGCACATTATATGAATATCAAATAATTATTTTTGAACTTCCTTATCAAACCCCTATACCTTAAAATGACGGACCAAATTATATTTATTTTGAGACATTTCTATTGTAAGTATTTCAAAAGCCTATTAAACATATTTATTATAATAAAAACTTTTTGGTTTTTACGAATGACCATTGGATTATACAATCCTCATTGATATTACTTTTGCATTATTGTATTATAGAATTTAGAATAAATAATCAAAACACAAACAATTTCAACACATTATTATGATTTATTTACCTCTATTTACGTCAGTTAAATGCAATTGTAGCTTACCTTGAAATTTTCCCAATGTTCATTCAATTGAGGATTGTAAGGAAATTTCAGTGCTGTAACAACAGCAATAAAAGCAAAAATTGCCAAGTATTTCATCGTAATCCAAAATAATACTGAAAAATAATAATAAATAATTTAACATTCACTTAAGCTCAAAACGTACATTTAAAACAATAATATTTATTCAATACGATTTATATTATTTTATTATCAATAAATAAAAAAGGTAAACCTTTAAGTAACTGATTAAATATTTGAAATACTTTAGTCAGCATACGTTAGATTTTATCTTACGAGAAAAATAAATTTATTAATATTTTTTTTATTTAAATGTGAAATATAAGCAAATTAAATCCCTAAAGTCATTACTTATTATATTCATTGATTAAATTTCTATAAAAGCTTTAGTAAACAAAATTTTTTTTGCAATCATCGACTAGTTATTTTTTTAGTTAATTCACAAGATTAAATACATTTAAATATCCAAAAATTAAACTAGCAAGTTCATTATTTTAAAATATATTACTTTGTAGATAAATATTACCATTCGGATGAATAATCTTTTTAAGTACCATGATATATTGCAACACTTTTTTAAATGTTACTTCAATTGGCATCGTTGAATAATTCATTCTTATTTTTCTTATATTGGTTTTCATTACTTAAGAGCATCTCATTTCTACTGAACTGAATTATATACAAATCACATTCAGAACCAAGTTTTTAAATAGAGGCTAAAAAATTGCTTTAGTAAATATATTCTAAAATAGTAATTGGACTATAACAATTCGGTTTTATTATCATTAGCCTTATTTTATATTCGTTATAAATCTCATAATTATTATTCTACTTAAAAATTTATTACATAAACAATTTTTCTAACCAAATTGTTAAAAACTTATTACATATAATCTAAGTTTTAATTACACGTTAATTTTATTACATGAATTTTAAACTTTATTCCTCATACTTAAAACTTTATTAGCCAATGTTATTATAATGATAATCAGTTTCTTTAGCTAATGATTGAAACTTCCTTGATTATGGATCTAAAAAACATATTCAAAAGAATCAAAATAATTAATTTTGGAAAATTAAATTAATATTTTATTTTTCTAAGTAGAGCTTAGATAGTTAAATGATTGATAAATATTTTTGACTACTTTTTTCGATGGTAATAAATATAATATTGAAATCAAACACTGAATGTTATAAGTTGGATGTTTTAAAATTGAGAGAACAAAAATCATTATAAAAATGAATAATAAAAAGTAATGCTTACGCTAATACTTTATTTGAACAGAACCTTCGCTTGTGGATGCTACTTGGATTTAATTCCTCGTATTTATACCTGTTTTATCAGGGATAAATTTAAGCAAAACAGTAAAACTTTCTCCTGTTTTATCTAAGTCAGTTGATATAATTTTTAGATATCAATTCAATTATCTATCAAGATTTCTATTTTAAAATATTACTCCAATACGTGACTAGGTTTGCAGTGATAATAAAATGAGAAGTAATGTAAAATTGGGTAAAATTGAAAAACAAGTGACCTGAGCTTATCACATTTAACATATGATTCTTTTTAAGCGCGTGATATAATGCGTTTTACTACGGTTTTAAGGGGTTCAGGAGGTTTTGATCTCATCGAGAGAAAAACTATGAATAACTTTTTTGACTTGATCTAAAATAAAAGTTAGGGTTCAGAATTTCTTGTAAGAGTTTAATATGACCACAGATATTTTTCAAATGCAAACGTTTTTGAAAAATACTTCAAAAAATTTTTATAACTTATTTTTTTAGAGCTAAATACTATGGTGTTTTGTGCGCATAATATTACGATATTAAGTTTTAAAAATCATGCTAATGACTTAAAAAGAGTTTCAATAGGCAGTCAAATATTTTTTTAAACCATAGAGGCAAAAAAACTGAAAAATAAAAAGAATTTTCTAAAAGTATTTATATTGTTTTTTGAATTTTCTTAAAAAATAATAATAAAAATAAATAATTATTTTAGCCAAAACAATATATGAAATATATACCTATATTCATCAGTTAGTAATGAATTTAGGCAGCATATGATACTCTAATAAATTACCAAGCTTTAATTTGCTTTAACTTAAGGGCTTAATAGAATGTAGAATAAAAATATGGTCAAAACTACCAGAATATCGTAAAATTTACAGTGTCTCTGGCTGTATGGGGCCACCAGAAAAATTAAATTAAAAACTTTGGCAATGACTTTGGTAAAATAAACAATAAAATGCGATTTTATAATAAGTGAAAAAAATTTATAAATTTTTAAAGTTTGTAGTTTTATCACAATACATTAGAGAATAGAATAACCATTTATTCGGTTAAATTTATTTTTCATTTTTGTATCTTTTACAACATATGAGGCAATAAGAACTATAGTTTTAGAAACCAGAATTTCCGAAGAACCATTACCATATGAACCGAAAAAGTAATAAATGAATGGTTTACCAGGTTTACTTTTTTTTCATCAAAATTGTCATTATCGGTAATTTTATAAGAATTTTCTTTCTCCGTGTATTTACCTTGATCTTTAATACATATTTCTTTACCACTTTATCTACATTGATGTATAACTAAGTTGTTTTTTACCGTTCATGTAATTATTATTTCACGCGAAATTATAAAATCTCAGAAAACAAATGTGCAAAAAAAATCTGTGCCCTCATTTTATAATCTTAAGTTTGACATAAAAGATTTGTGTTAATGACGTTTTTTTTTCTAGCAATTCTATTAAATCTTTGTGTTATCTCTAATTTACCCATCATACACTTTAAATATTCCAGATCAAATAACGGTAAAAATTACCAGTACTTAGGGTGTCGGCACTTTTTGCCATAAAATCTCTTTTCACCGGAACATGCTATGAAACAAAAATACCTGATATACCGTATTTTTTACAGTAATAATTTCCGTAAAATCACTCAATCAATTATTTAAATAAATGTTGCTGTAAAAACTACAGTATACTATTTTACGGTAAAATGGATTTTACGAATGAGGCACATAAGGTGCCTAAAATTCAATTATCTAAAATTATCAAAAAATTAACTTGATGTAAAAGTTTCATGGGCTACTCACCTTAAATAATTCTCAAAAATCATCCAACTGTGATCCTAACGGTAGACATTGTGCTGAAGAAATAGCAGCAGCAACGAAAATTACAACAAATTTTATTTTGATCCAAAACACTCTGGACTTTAGTTCCACAACATTCAAAGCATCTGTTTATTTTTTAAACAAAAATAATGATTAGAATGATTCGAATATTAATTATTAGTTATAATATTTTAGCATATGTTATTATTTGTAATCTGTGCAACTTAAATGGCATTATGAAGTGTTTATCAATAATGCAGTGTTTTTTATAGGAGTCTCTATCTAATTATATTTCTGAATAGTGTCAAAATAATCTCTCGAGTGTGCTAAATTATTTATAACCGTACCTAAAAAACATCAATTAATTGCCATTCAACTATTCCAAAAAATACCATTCTTAGAATGGACTAATAACATTAAAAATATTTTCATCTGTTTAAATCATTGTAGTAAAAGGTCTAATCAATTTTAATCCCAGGAAATTTTCTAATAAAACCAACAATAATAATGTCTAATGCTGCTCTTGCAATTTACAGTCTTATCTCCTTAACTGAAATCTACAATTTGGTTTTTAGTTCGGAAAAAAAATAATGCTTGTACTCCCAATTACTGGAATATGCCCCTCAGAGGAGGAGTACCGAATTCCGTCTTCACTGTAAAAAATTTCTGATCAAATTACGGTGTAAAGTACCGGCACTTTGAGGGCATCATCCGTAAAATCCATTTTACAGTAAAATTCACTTTTGCGGTAAAACTATTTTCGCCGTAAAATCCGTTTTTGACGTTGTTTTGGATGTTGCCAATTTCCCATCTGGTCTGACGGAGTCAGATCAGACCAGATCAATAAATCCGTTGACATTTAGGAAGTCCGAAACTAAAAGGGGAGAGGAATAAATGTCGTTCCAGTCCAGTCCTAAACAGTTCAAGATATGCTCAGGTGATGTCTGGTTTTGTTGGCATTTAGGGCAAGGAGGAAAGATCTTTTGATTGGCAAAAAATGTGAGACTTTTCAGGTATCCACTGGCCAGTCGGGATAAGCAAGTGTTGGTCTGCCTGTCACCAGGAAGAGATAGAGATAGTCCTGATCTTCTGCTTTATACCAGTAGTGAGTAGGTGGAGCAGCCACTTTTGTTTGTTCTGGGCCTTTTGCCTTGCGAAAAGTTCAAGGTATGTAAGTTCTGAGGTGGAGGGGACTGGATGGTCTAGTCCCTTCCTTGCAAGAGTGTCAGCCAACTCGTTTCCGTGGACATCGACGTGGGACGGGATCCATTGAAAGTGGACTTCATGCTGCTGGGAAATGAGCTTTACTTTTTGTAAGATCGAAAAACTGGTTTTATCTCTAATGAAGGCCCAATTTTTGAGGTGTTGAATTGAACTACGGCTGTCAGATAGCATCCAAGTATTTCCAAGGTGTCCTTCTCTCAAGATTTTCTCTAGTCCCCTGTCGATTGCAATTAGTTCGCTCCGAAAGACAGAACAAAAATCGGGGTTTCGTTAATGAAGAGTGTAGTTCTCTCGAGGTGTTTCAATAAACACTCCACTGCCTACCTGTCTATTCATTTTACTGCCATCATAGTATATTTTGATGTCGTTTGGAGGGATTTTATTGATCATTTCCACGGACAATTGTCTGAGGAAGTCAGGCACACAGTTGTTGATGTTTTTGACGTAAAATATTCGACCGCAATTTTTTCAGTAATATTTATTTAATTAGAGTGATTTATTGATTTTAAAGTAATTATTACTGCTACAATTGCAGTATATCAGACTTTTTGTTCTATAACATGTTTCGTTAGGAATGGATTTTTTACCGTTATTTGATCTGAAGTTTTTTTTCTTTGTTTTACCTCACCAATGTGTTATGAGCCTCATAATTTCTTTTAACCTCTTAATGATTTCAGCAACTGAGAACGAAACATAACTGATATCTGCATTAAATAAATAGCACTTTAAATCGTGTGAATCATACTTTAATCACATTTAATTTTTAATTTTGTTTGCGGCATTAAAAAGCTTTTTACGATACATTTTATATATTTTAATATTTATTGCCCGAATTTTTTAAGCAAAGTCGTATGGTAAAAATCAGTGAATAAATTCTAAGACATACAAGAGAACGATCAAATTTGAATCAAATCGGTTCAAAGGTTCCACATTCTTAGCATTAAAAATTATTTCTACTTAGGATTCTAAAATGATTTTAGGCATTTAAAACTGCACACTTTAAAATAAAAACACAGTTTCAACCATATATGAATAATCTTTAAAACTATGCACTAAATGAATAAAATTGCTATGAAATTAAAACCAAAATGCGTAGTATCAGAAGTAACTTTACACTTAAAGATATATTTACCGATTTTTAATTCTTCTACTCGCTAAGTTTTGTTTCTAAAGAACTGATAGTGTTATCACCAGTTTCATTAATCATTAGTTTACCAATTTATTTGTATTAAATGAAGATTTTCTGCTGTTAATAATAAGATAAAAAACAAAAATGGATAATTTTTATTGTCTTTTGTTGCACCACGTCCCTTAGCTATTCTATAACAATTCTTTGATTTTATAAGTTTCGTATTGCTTCATTGTAAAAGTCAGCTTGTAGACTCATTAAATATAATTAAAAACCGTTATGGAACTATTTTCATTTAAAAATTCTTTATCTTCTAAATTTATAAATGTATTTAATATTAAAATATAGGTATTTTAAAATAATGACTGAGCTTTAAGCAGTTAAAATTTTCTTTCTGAAATTACGGTAAAATAACAGGCAGTACTCTGTCCATCTACTTAACCTTAATGTTTACGGTAAATTATGGTGTTTAGCATTTCTTAACTTTACGGTTTTAAAACCGCTTGTAACTAGTTTGGTTTTTTAAAAAACATAAATGCAAAACTATACAGTTACGGTTTCTTAGCTATTTACGACTAGCATAGTTTCAAAACCGCAAAAAAGAAATTTATCAGGGCGTTACAGTTAGAGGACATTAAGGTTATTATGCAGCTTTATGGTTTTGTCATCTAGGAGTGAATAAGAGTTTCGTATTCTAACATCCCAGGGGGACAAATTGGGAAGTGCAGGACACTGGAAACTTTTCGTGTGTAAAAGGCAATGAAAGAAATATTGTGGCTTCAACGCCAGGATTCCCTATTCTGTCGGTCATGAGATTGACCAATTAACCCTCTAGGCTATAATATTATCCAGATGCAAAGAACTAAGTGACTTTATTAATTGGGCCCAGTTGGTGTGGTAAAATTCTGATATTTAACCTTATTAGATAAAAGCAGTTAATAAACGGGCTTTCTCACAATTAACAGTTTCAATGCCATCTTTTTGTGGCTGCTTGACTGTTTTGTTTGAGTATGGTAAAATTAAAATAAATTTTTATTTATCAATTTTTTCTGAACGATTTCTTACACTGTAGAAGCTCTACTTAGCGTTTTGCTTCTCAATTAAACATGTAACTTTCTACATACTAACAGCTAATACAGAAATAAAAAAAAATTATGTTGTAAAATAATTTAGAAAGTTTTTTTGGAACATAATATTTTTAATGATACTTTAAATAAGAACATAAAAACTGAACAAAATTAATTCCTTATTAACTACCCTACAATAATAGTAGAGACACTTTCAGTTTTTCTCATTTTTTTCTAAATTTCTCAAGAAATACTTAAAAAACTATTTTGTAACTTTAGAGGTGTTAAATTCATGTGATTTTTCATACTTTGCAATAAGATTAAAAACTTTCAGAGGTTAGGAAAACCTACAATAAATTACGAGAGAGAACAAGCATTTTTGAACACCCTATGCCAGAAAATCAAGCAAAACACTTGTAGCTTGTATCGATTACTTTAGTTGTTATTTTTAATAACTCTAGAACGAATATTTATAAAAATATAGAGACTTTTACAGAAAATTCATTTTTTCGTCTTACGTTTCTTTGCTATAACTTCATAAATATTCAATAGAATTAAACAAAATTTAAAGTTAATTACAAAACTGTTGATTTAAAATTTTAAGAAATTCCTTTGAAAACTGCGCAAGATATGAGTATTTAAGCTGGTTCTTTTATACTACGCTTGCGCAGAAAAATTTAGTAAAGTTTTCTTTCATAATTTTGTTGGAAATCAACAAATGATGAAAGCTTTACTTTAATATCTAAAAAAATTAAAAAGTTTCAAGCAATTTTCTAATTAGTTTTTGTAAATTTTAAAGGAAAGCTCAAAGCGATAAAGGGTTATCCACAAAATTCATCTTGCACTATTACTCAAGATTTATTAAAAATGAGACTCGCATTCTGGAGGATTACCTCCCATAAAAGCATGCTCTCTTTTGTATATTTTCTTCCTCTATACCATCAAAGTTTAGTTTCCGGCGATTATTGTAAAGTATTATCATTTATTATTAAATTTTGTCTTATGATACAAAATAAAACTTGTGAAACACCCCTGAATGCTTTGAGTATTCGTTTGAAAAGTACAAAAATTGCTTGAAATTTTTTAAATTTTTAAGATATTTAAATCAAATTTCTTTATTATTTGTCAAATACGATTCACTATAAAATTATAAAAAAAACTCGTACTCGTTCACTACAAAAATTATCCTTCATTTGAAGATATTTTCCTGTAATATTTATTCAGCATTCTTTCCTAATATTATTTTCTTTTATTTTAAAATGTTTAATTTTATTTACTATTCATACTTAAAGTCTTTAAGTTAAAAGTTTTGTAACATTTATTAAAAAGATATTTAGTTAAATAGTAAACAAGTTATATTTACTTTTTTAACAAGTTATATTAACTTTCATTATAAATTTTATAGGATGTATGCAACAAAATCAAATAAGCATTCAATGTTAACTTTTCGCTTGAAGTTTAAATTTCATGCCTGTCAAATCGGAAATTAAATCTGTGGAACCAAGAATAATACAACAAAATAATTGGAATATTTTAATGGAATAATTATTAATTATAAAATAGCAATCTGTTTAAATAAAATGACTTCGAAACTATAGCGGTTGTCTGCCACGAATTCTTTAGTAGTTTTAAAAAATTCATTGCAAACCCGATGTTGAGCTACTATAAAAAAATTTGAAATAATCTAATAGCAGTCTAAAATTAGATCACCCGAACAAACAGTTTTTTTAAAATTCAGTGTGTATTAATTCTTTAAAAATCAAAATTCAATTAAGAATATAAAATATTTTATTTTAAAACATATACAATGTTATTTTAACAATTATAAGATCTTTTCTCCACCTTTTTCTTCATCAAATCAATCTGTCATCCTTTTTTTTGTACATGCAAAAATTAATTTCTAATTAGTTCACGTACAATACAAACAAACGTGTACAGTCATGTAAAGTTTATCACAGTTTAAACGAGTGGGTAGCTGGCTTGTGTTGCAATTCCACATTGGTTGCCTTTGTTTCTGGACATTTTGATGTACCCTTGGATACCCCAAGTAGTTCCCCAACTGAAATATGAGAAAGAAAATATTATTAAATTGAATTATTATATTAATTGAAATATATATTAAATTGAAACATAAAAAAGAAATATATATGAAAAATAGTTATAGACTTAGAATTTGATACATATTTTTATGATATGAAATCAAAAAATAAAACTTGGTATGTTTTGCACAAAATAAAGCATAAGCAAAATAAGAAATTTAAAATATTTAATTAACACTTTAGTTTATGTCAGAGATGCCTTTAAAATATTGCATCGGTTTAATTGTAACTTTTTTTAAATAAATATAATCTCAATAAGTAAGTAAATTATACTATATCTTTGAATAATGTATTTATTTATAAAGAAACTTATATTAAAATTTCTACACTGAGAAAAAAAGTATAGTCAAAATTACCAGAATATAGTAAAATTTACCGTGTTTCTGGCTCTATGGGAACACCAAACTGCTTTGCAATTTTCACGGAAGCGCTTCGTAATGATTTAGGACGAATTCACAATAAAATTTGATTTTATAATATATAATTAAATGTGGTAAAATTTGTTAATTTTATCATGATACCTTAAAGCACGACATAAAAACCATTTATTTGGTTAAATTTACTTTTCAATTTGCATCTTTTTACTAAATGTGTGGTAATAAAAACTATAACTATGTAAATCAAAATTTCCAGTATACCGAAACTATATGAACGGAAAAATTATCTAATGAACGGAAAAATTATCTAAGGAATGGTTTAAATACCGTGCTTTTATTACCAAAATGATAGTTTTTTTGTACCAGAAACTGGATTGTTCATAAGCCCATCTAACTTTCTAATTAATAAAAACACTAATGGATTTATGTTGAATGCACTATTTCAGAAATCAAATAAAATTAAGGAAAGAGATTCACTATAATTTAATATGTTCTTGTTTAATTATGTATAATATATAAAAAATAGGAAATAATTTGGATACTTTTCATTTTTAATATTTTAACATTACATGAACACCTTTGTACTATACGTTTATTGTTCATATGTTGTTAGTTAAATTTCCTTCTTATAATCAAAAGTAGTTATACCAATATTATTTGCTTACAAATGTAATTGCTTTAATTAGATATAATATACAAAAATAGGAAATAATTTGGATTTATTTCATTTTTAATATTTTAAATTTACATGAACACCTCTGTACTATAAGTTTATTGTTCATACGTTGTTAGTTAAATTTCCGTCTTATAATCGAAAGTCCATCATACCAATATCAATTGTTTACTAATTACTTATTTTACTATTCCTTTTTAAGTAATAGATAAATTAGTTTCGAGCTTATTTATAATTTTTATTCTTATATTTAAAAGAAGTTTTGAAACTTTTATTACCTGTTCTTCACCAGCCAATAGTCTTGGCCATCTTCAGTTCCGTAACCAATAGCCAAAACACCGTGATCCAATTGAGAAGTACTGCAGCTGGATTCATCGTAAATTCCATCTCTGGAACACAAATTAAAATTAATCACTAAATTATTTAACAATTAAACAATGCAATTTCTGAAATTATTCATACAATATCAAAATTTAACAGCAACCTAACAATGATACAAACTTAAACATAAATCCATTCAGTATCAAGAATTAACTGTTCTATTTATACAATTTAAATGCAATTTATATTTATTGTGTGAGCCCATGGTTAAGATTTTGTACGACGCGTAGATCATTTAGAAATAAAAATATTATGCTTTTTTGTATCAAAGCAATGACTAATTTTAAAGTGAAAAATGTAGTATGTGTCTCAAATTGCAATTCTGTATTTTAACCATGAGTTTTAATCTTTTTTTCCATTGAGAGAATTAAAAAAAATTTTACACTATACCATATGCCTAAATTTATTAATTAATTTTTTATTACATTTTATTCGCTTAAAAATAATCCAAAACATATATAGTTGTATTTTAAAAACTTACTTTTATTTGCACTGCAATACAAAATTTCACTTGAAAAACTAATAATTCCCAAATGCGATTTTTTAAGACTAACGTTTAGACTAAAGATTTATTTAAAAACGCTTTTTTGTAAGTCATAATATTTATTTATTCTTAGGAAAGTTATTTCTTTCCAAGTGAAATTATGAATATTTTTAAACTTTCTCTGAAAACTAATTTGCTCATATTACAAGTGAATAAATATTTTGAACTATTTGATATTGACTGTTTGCAAAGATTTTAATATTACGTAAAGAAGACAATAAATTCCTTCGACGAAAAAATAAATAAACAGATATAAAAATTAAATAGATTATTTTTTTAGTACTTAAATTATTCTTCGTTTAAAATCTAGAAGGATTCAAGTCAGCAATTTTAAACTATTCCTTACTCTTTTGTTCAATAGAGTAATATGAAAAATAAAAATTAATTTAAAATAATAAAATTTATTCTATACGTACTGATAGAGCTGGAAGCTAAAGTTGCTTGCATCAATAGCTACAGAAACAGGTCCTACGGTGGCAACAGCTGTTTTAAGAGCGTTCTCATCTCCGGTAGGAATGTCAACATATCCAGTAACAGTTGCTCCAACATTGGCTTTATTGAAAAGACATTTTGGACCATCCTAAAATAAATAAATTTATAAATGCCTAAATCACATTTTTTAACATTATTTTAAAAATTTATAATAGCTGTCNATGTTTTTTAAACATTCTTTATAATAAAATATTTAGTAATATCACATACAAAATACATTTAAAATGAAAAATGCAGTTCAAAGAAACACTTTCACCTCACACAAATCAAACGTTTACTACTTATTATTTCCATATATTATATAAATTAAAATTGTTAAACTCATTAAATTTAAATATTATAGAAATTAAACGTTTTCAACTTATTATTGAATGTAAATATTACACAAATTAAACGCTTGTAACTTATTATTTATACACAGTTTGTAAAGGTTTTCATCTTATCATTTATACGCATTTTACAAATTAAATATTTTTAAGCTTTCCAAATTGAAATATTATACAAATTAAACGTTTTCAGTATACTTTTTAATGAACACAGTGCTCAAATAAAACGCTTTCAACTTATTATTTATACACATTATACTGGTTAAACACTTTCTACTTATTCAGTTTACACATTACAGAAATTAAACGTTTTCAACTTATTATTTAATTTACACAATTCATAAATCAAGCATTTACAATTTTTTTATTTATATACATTATACAAATTTAACTTTTTCAATTTATTAAGTTTATACTTCACACAAATATAAATGTCCTCAATTTATTATTTAATTTATACATTACACAAAGTAAACATTTTGATCTTAATTTTGGTATCCTTAAATTTCTTATTTCAGAGTCACGAAGAATTTGTAAGGCACTTTAACGGATTTAAAAGCAGCGGTCTCCGAAGTGGAGAAGGAAGTGCCTGGGTAGAACCCTCTAACGTTCACATTCCAGACACTGTCGATTGGAGGAAACAAGGACTGGTCACTCCAATCAAAAACCAGGTACAAATTTATATCTTTTCTCAAAATTTTTTTCTCCAGCTGTTTCATTTTGCTTAATCTTAATAAAAACAAAATGTTGCGTTCTTACAACAAAACGTGCAGTTTCTTGGAACAATAACGACTCACAATAATTATGAAGAAAGCATATAAAATTAAGTTTTGAAATTACCCATATCATTATTCATTAAAGGAAAAGTGGTAGCTAAAACAAGAAACAATCATCATATTTAATGCAATAATTATTAAGTTAGAGATTTTTATTTAATAGCAACAATGTGGCTCTTGCTGGGCTTTCTCTACCACCGGATCTCTTGAAGGGCAGCACAAAAAAATTTGAGAAAAGATATAATTTTATACCTGGTTTTTGATTGGGGTGACCAGTCCTTGTTTCCTCCAATCGACAGTGTCTGGAATGTGAACGTTAGAGGGTTCTACCCAGGCACTTCCTTCTCCACTTCGGAGACCACTGCTTTTAAATCCGTTAAAGTGCCTTACAAATTCTTCGTGACTCTGAAATAAGAAATTTAAGGATACCAAAATTAAGATCAAAATGTTCACTTTGTGTAATGTATAAATTAAATAATAAATTTGGGACGTTTAATTTGCGTAAAGTTTAAACTTAATACGTTTAAAACGCTTAACTTGTATAATGTTTATAAATAAAAAGTTGTAAATGTTTGATTTGTGTAATGCGTAAATTAAATAATAAGTTAAAAACGTTCAATTTGTGTAATGTGTAAACTGAATAAGTAGAAAGTGTTTAACTAGTATAATGTGTATAAATTATAATTTGAAAGGTTTAGTTATTTGTGCAATGTGTTCATTAAAAATTTATACTGAAAGCGTTAAATTTGTATAATATTTAAATTTAGAAAGCTTAAAAATATTCAATTTGTAAAATGCGTATAAATGATAAGTTGAAAACGCTTGCAAACTCTGTAAAAATATTAAGTTAAAAACGTTTTATTTGTGTAATATTTACATTCAATAATAAGTTGAAAACGCTTAATTTGTATATTATTTAAATTCAATGAGTTCAAAAATTTTAATTTATATAATGTATAGAAATAATAAGTAGTAAGTGTTTGATTTGTGTGATGTTAAAGTTTTTCTTTGAACCAAATTTTACGTTTTTAATATATTTTCTTATGTGATATTACTAAATATTTGATTATAGGGAATGTTTTAAAAACATAGTACTCATTACAGGGTTAATATTAGATAGCTATTACAAGTTTATGCTTGAAATGTAGTTTTAATTTTATTGAAATTATCAAACAATGGAGCATTTTTTCACATAAAATAAAAATTTTGTAAATAGTGATTAAAATTTATAATAACTGTTTGGAAAAATTCTAGTTTTGAATAAACTTTTAATCAAAATAGCTTTCGCTTAAATTTAAAATCTTAAATCAGTTTGAGTTTTTAAAGTAACTTGAATAGTATTGTAATTAAATAGTTTTATTTTTATATTAAAATGAAGATAAACTAGTGCTCATTCTTATTGGGCAAAATACATGATTATAAATTATTCCACTTTCGTTTAATTAGTTTTACGAACAGTTTTTAAAAAAGAAAGTACCACGTGTTTCTATTAGAACTACCTGACTAAATCACTTTTAAAATTATCTTTTTTTTAATATTAAATTAATTACTTGTCTATAACTTAAAATATATGATGAAGATGTTAAGTATGTCAAACCTTGTAATTATATATAAAACACATATTTTAGTAATTCTATGAAAACTTACCATGTCTGCGTATTCATTAATGCCTTTTCTGTAAGAATGAATACCCAAATCAGCTTGAAGGTTGTGTTTTATGATATCTGTGACAGCTCTTTCCCATATAAGACGTCTTGAAAACTCTTCCCTGCTACCATAATTTTTTCCATAGATTCTCTATAGAAATACGTCACATTTTAACAACTTCAAAAGTAAACTCTGCTAAGGATTAATTTTTTTTTAAAAATAAAGTATAACTTAAAACCATATTTTTTTATATTAAGCTATATTATTTTTTTCATAATTTTCTAGTTTTCAATGACTAATTGCACACATGAGCTATGGATGTGCTAAACTTATGATTTCATCTCCCGACTTCATCATATGCAATAAAAAAACCTTTTAAAGGAAAATTAAATTTTAGTTAGTCCTAAAATAGATATAAATACAAAAATGCCTTTAAAAAATTTAACATAAATAAAATAGAATAATAAGTTAATATTATAATAAAGTAATAAGTTACTATAATGGAATAATAAATAATATAATCGAATAATAAGTTAAACAGAATTAATTAAATGTGCAAAAAAAATTTTAATGTTGAACAGTCGAGACAAATCAGAACGGATTAATGGATTAGATATAGTATTTAAAATTAAGTGAATATTTTTAACATTTATTAATTAAATTTATTAATATATTATTTATATAATTTTAAAAATCAATTTTTAAACTTTTAATCCAAATTTTTCGAGTAACATATAATACTGTTTACATATTTAAAAAAAATTTTAGTTTTGTGTTAATAGGACAAATTTAATATTTAATAGCAACAAAAATTCTCAGCTGCTGTAAAAGTTATAATTTAATTAAACATAAAAATATTGACGTGCTTTTTTTACTACACACTATATAAATATCAAATAATTATTTTTGAACTTCCTTATCAAACTCCTATACCTTAAAGTGACTGACCAAATTATATTTATTTTGAAACATTCTCGTTGTAAGCATTTAAACAGCCTTTTAAGCATGTTTATTATAACTAACATTTTTTGGTTTTTACGAATGACCATTGAATTATACAATACTCATTGATATTACTTTTGCATTGTTACATTATAGAATTTAGAATAACTAATCAAAACACGAATAATTTTGACACATTATTATTCTTTATTTACCTCTATTGACGTTAGTTAAATGAAATTGTAGCTTACCTTGAAATTTTCCCAATGTTCATTCAATTGAGGATTGTAAGGAAATTTTAGTGCTGTAGCAACAGCAATAAAAGCAAAAATTGCCAAGTATTTCATCGTAATCCAAAATAATACTGAAAAATCATAATAAATAATTTAACATTCACTTAAGCTCAAAATGTACATTTAAAACAATAATATTTATTTAATGCGATTTATATTATTTTATTAACAATAAATAAAAAAAGTAAACCTTTAAGTAACTAATTAAATATTTGAAATACTTTAGTCAGCATACATTAGATTTTATCTTACGAGAAAAATAAATTAATTAATATTTTTTCATTTAAATGTGAAATATAAGCAAATTAAATCCCTATTTATTATATTCATTGATTAAATTTTTATAAAAGCTTCAGTAAAAATTATTTTCTCATACAATCATAGACTATTTATTTTTTTAGTTAATTTACAAGATTAAATACGTTTAAGTATTAAATAATTAAACTAGCAAGTTTATTAGTTTAAAATATATTACTTTGTAAATAAATACTAACCAGTCGGATGAGTTAATTATTTAAGTACCATGGTATATTGCAACACTTTTTTAAATGTCACTTCAATTGGCATTGTTGAATAATTAATTCATATTTTCTTATATCAGTTTTTATTTTTATTATTTAAGAGCATCTCATGTCTACTAAACGAAATTAGATATAATGCAACACTTTTTCAAATGCTAATTTAATAGGCATTGTAGAATAAATAATTCTCATTTTCTTATATTAGTTTTTATTTTTATTATTTAAGAGCATCGCATATCTACTGAACGAAATTAGATACAAATCATTTTCAGAACCAAGTTTTCAAATAGAGGCTAAAAAATTGCTTTAGTAAATATATTCTAAAATAGCAATTAGACTATAACAAATTAGTTTCACTATTATTAGCCTTATTTTATATTCTTTACAAATCTCACAATTAATATTCAACTTAAAAATTTATTACATAAACAATTTCGGTAAACCAAAAATTTTAGAAAATTATTACATATAATCTAAGTTATAGTTTCACGTTAAGTTTATTACATGAATTTTAAAATTTATTCCTCATACTTAAAACTTTATTAGCCTATGTTATTATAATGATAATTAGTTTTATTAGCCAATTATTGAAACTTGTTCTGTTATGGATCTAAAAAACATATTTTAAAGAATCAAAATAAAAATAATTCATTTTGGAAAATTAAATTTATATTTTATCGTAACTTAGATAGTTAGATGATTGATTAATATTTTTGAATACATTTTTTGATACCAACAAATATAATATTGAAATCAATTGAATGTTTTAAGTCGATTGTTTTAAAATGAAAAGAACAACAAAAGTATTATAAAAATGAATAATAAAAAGTAATTCTTACGCTAATACTTTATTTGAACAGAACCTTTTGCTTGTGGATGCTACTTGAATTTAATTCCTGATATTTATGCCTGTTTTATCAGGGATAAATTTAAGTAAAACAGTAAGACTTTCTCTTGTTTTATCTAAATCAGTTGATATAATTTTCAGATATCAATGCATTTATCAATCGTGAATTCTATTTAAAAATATTACTCTAATACGTGACTAGATGTGTAGTGATAATAAAATGAGAAGTAACGTAAAATTGGGTAAAATTGAAAAACAAATGCATAAGCTTATCACATTTAACATATGATTCGCTTTAAGCGCGTGATATAATGTGCTATACCATGGTTTTAATGGGTTCAGAAGATTTTGATATCATCAAGAAAGAAAATAAGCATAACTTTTTTGACTTGATCTAAAATAATACTTAGGGTTCTGAACTTTTTATAAGAGTTAATATGAGCTTTTTATAAAGTTATATTCAAATGCAAACTTTTAGAAAAATACTTCAAAAAAAATTTATAATTTTATTTTCTTTAGAGCTAAATACTATGGCTTTTTGTGTGCAATTTTAAAAATCATGTTAATGACTTAAAAAGAGTTTCGATCGGCAGTCAAATATGTTTTTAAACCAAAGAGGCAAAAAAACTGAAAAATAAAAAATATTTCTTAAAAGTATTTATATTGTTTTTCGGATTTTCGTAAGAAAAATAATAAAAATAAATATATGATTCAATTTTACAGTAATATTTATTTAATTAGAGTGAGATATTGATTTTAAGGTAATTATTACTGCTACAATTGCAGTATATCAGACTTTTTGTTCTATAACATGTTTCATTAAAAATGGATTTTTTACAGTAATTTGATCCCAAATTTTTTAGTTTGTTTAACCTCACAGGATGTGTTATGAGCCTCATAATTTCTTTTAACCTTTTAATGATTTCAGCACAGAACGAAGCATAACACATATCTGCATCAAATAAATAACACTTTAAAGCGTATGAATCATACTTTAATCATATTTAATTTCTAATTTTGTTTGCGCATTAGGGAAGCCTTTTATGATAGATTTTATACATTTTAATATTTCTTGCTCTTGTTTTTCAAGCAAAGTCGTATGGTAAGGAATCAGTGAATAAATTCTAAGACATACGAAGAAACGAACAAATTTGAACAACCGAAGAAAATTATAAAAATTATTTTTGCTTAGCATTTTAAAATGATTTTTGGGAGTTAAAACTGAACATTTTAAAATAATAACACAGTTTCAAACATATATGAATAATCTTTATACACTAAATTGATAATATTGTTATGAAATTTAAAAAAATATTACTCACAAAATATGTTACATCAGAAGTAACTTTACCCTTAAAGATACTTACTGATTTTTAATTCTCCTTCTCGCTAAATTTAGTTTCTAAAAAACTGATAGTGTTATCACCAGTTTCATTAATCATGAATTTAGTTAAACAGTTTATTTGTATTAAGTGAACATTTTCTGCTATTGATAATAAGATGAAGAAAAAAATTGATAATATTTATTGTTGCACCACGTCTCTTAACTTTCTTTAACAATTCTTTAATTTTATAAGTTTCGTATTGCTTCATTGTAAAAGTCAGTTATAAGTTTAGTAGCTTATAGACTCATTAAATATAATTAAAAACTGTTATGAAACTATTTTTTGTTAAGCATTCTTTGTTCTACTAAACTTATAAATGTATTCAATATTAAAGTATAGGTATTTTAGAATAACAACTGAGCTTTACACGGTTAAAATTTTCCTTCTTAAAATTCGGTAAAATAACAGGAAACACTCTGTCCATCTACTTAACCTTAATGTTTACGGTAAATTATGGCGTGGAAGATTTCTTACCTTTACGGTTTTAAAACCGTTTATAACTAGTTTAGTTTTAAAAAAAACATAAATGCAAAACTATACAGTTGCGGCTTCCTAACTAGTTACAACTAACATAGTTTTAAATCAGTAAAAAAGAAATTTAACAGGGCGTTACAGTTAGAGGACATTAAGGTTATTATGCAGCTTTATGGTTTTGTCACCTGGACGTGAATAAGAGTATCGTATTCTAATATCCCAGGGTCACAAAACGGGGAGTGAAAGGAAATGGAAGAAATATTTTGGCTTCAAAGCTAGTCTGTCATGAGATTGGCCAATTAATCCTCGTGGCTATAATATTACCCAGATGAAAAGAATTAAGTAAATTCATTTGGTGGGCCTAGTTGGTGAGGTAAAATTCTGATATTCTAACCCTATTAGATAAAAGCAGTTAATAAACGGGCTTTCTCACAATTAACAGTTTCAATACCATCTTTTTGTGGTTACTTGACTGTTTTGTTTGAATATGGTAAAATTAAAATAAATTTTTATTTATAAATTTTTTCTGGACGATTTCTTACACTGTAGAAGCTCTACTTAGCATTTTACTTCTCAATTAAGCATGTAACTTTCTACATACTAACAGCCAATAAAGAAATTTAAAAAAATTATGTTGTAAAATAATTCAGAAAGCTTTTTTGGAACATAATATTTTTAATGATACTTTAAATAGGAACATAAAAACTGAGCAAAATTAATTCTTTATTAACTACCCTACAATAATAGAAGAGACACTTTCAGTTTTTCGCATTTTTTTCTAAATTTCTCAAGAAATACTTAAAAAATTATTTTGTAACTTTAGAGGTGCTTAGTTCATGTGATTTTTCATACTTTGTAATAAGATTTAAAACTTTCAGAGGTTTGGAAAACCTACAATAAATTACGAGAGAGAACAAGCATTTTTGAACACCCTATCCCAGAAAATCAAGCAAAACACTTGTAACTTGTATCGATTACTTTAGTTGTTACCTTTAATTAATAAGAATATAAGAATATAGAATTAGTAAATATGAATTTAATAAGAATATAGAGATTTTTACAGAAAATTACTTTTTTTGTCTTAAGTTTCTTTGCTATATCTTCATAAATATTCAATAGAATTAAATAAAATTTAAATTTAATTACAAAAATGTTGAGTTGAAATTTTAAAAAATTCCCTTAAAAACTACGCAAGATAAGAGTATTTAAGCTGGAAAAATTTAATGACGTTTTTTTAAAATTTAGTAGGGAATCATATTTGGCCACTAATCATTATAGCTTTATTTGAATATCTTAAAAATTTAAAAAGATTCGAGCAATTTTCTAATTAGTTTTTGTACATTTTAAGAGAAAGCTCAGAGCGATAAGGCGATATCCACAAACTTCATCTTGCACTATGAAACAAGATTTATTAAAAATGAGACCCGAATTCTGGAGGATCACCTCCCATAAAAGTATGTTCTCTTTTGTATCTTTTCTTTCTCCATACTATCTCCATAACATTTGCATATCTTCTATACCAAGTAGTTCAGTTTCAGGCGATTATTGTAAAGTATTGTCATCTGTTATTAAATTTCATCTTATGATACAAAATAAAATTTGTTGAACACCCCTGAATGCTTTGAGCTTTCGTTTGAAAAGTTCAAAAATTGCTTGAAACTTTTTAAATTTTTAAGATATTTAAATCAAATTTCTTAATTATATGCCAAATATGATTCACTATAAAATTATGAAAAAAACTCTTACTCGTTCACTACAAAATTATCCTTCATTTGAAGATATTTTCCTGTAATATTTATTCAGCATTCTTCCCTGATATTATTTTCTTTTATTTTAAAATTCTTAATTTTATTTACTATTCATAGTTAAAGTTCATAACTTAACAACATTTGCAACATTTATTAAGACGATGTTTATTTAAATAGTAAATAAGTTATATTTACTTTTTAGCAAGTTATATTTACTTTCTTTATAAATTTTATAGGATGTTTGCAACAAAATATACAGAATAACGGTAATGAAAATTTAAATAAGCATTCAATGCTAAATTTTCACATTATTCTATTCTCCTTAGAGAAAAATATTTCAAGAGTTTTCATAATAATTAAAATTTAAAAAGGAACTTCAAAAACAAATTTATCAATGAAGTTTCAATGGTGAAAGATTAAAGCCTTGAAGTTTAAATTTTATACCAGTCGAATCGGAAATTAAATCTGTGGAACTAGGAGTTGGAATTCAACAACAAAATTGGTACGTTTCAATGGCATAATTATTAATTATAAAATAGCAATCTGTTTAAAGAAAACGACTGCGAAACTCTAGCAGTTGTCTGTCAGAAATTCTCCAGTAGTCTTAAAAAAATTCTTTGTAAACCCGATAATGAGGCACTGGGAAAAAGTTTGAAATAATCTAATAGCAGTCATTTAAGTCCAGATTTTAACACAGATTTTAGCGGACATTTTAAGTCCAGATCACCCGTGACTTAAAAGACTTTTCAACCTATTTTTAATCCCGAAATAAATAACAAACAGTTTTTTAAAAAAAAATTCAGTGTGTATTAATTCTTTAGAAAACAAAATTCATTTAAGAACATAAAATATTTTATTTTAAAACATACACAATATTATTTTAACATTTATAAGATCTTTTTTCCACCTTTTTCTTCATCAAATCAATCTCTCATCCCTTTTTCTGTGCATGCAAAAATTAATTTCTAATTAGTTCACGTACAATACAAACAAACAATTCCGTGTACAGTCATGTAAAGTTTATCACAGTTTAAACGAGTGGGTAGCTGGCTTGTGTTGCAATTCCGCATTGGTTGCCTTTGTTTCTGGACATTTTGATGTACCCTTGGATACCCCAAGTAGTTCCCCAACTGAAGTATGAAAAAGAAAATATTATTAAATATATATTAATTGAAATATATATTAAATCGAAACATGAAAAAGGAATATCCATGAAAAATAGTTACAGAGTTAGAATTTGATATATATTTTTTCATGATACGAAAGCAAAGAATAAAACTTGATATATTTTGCACAAAATAAAACCTAAGCAAAATAAGAAGTTTAAATTTTTAATTAACACTTTAGTTTATATCAGATATGCCTTCAAAACATTGCATTAATTGCAATTTTTTTTAAGAAAATGAAAATCATATCAATAGGTAAGTAAATTATGCTATATCTTTGAATAATGTATTTATTTATAAAGAAACTTATATGAAAATTTATACACTGAGAAAAAAAGTATGGTCAAAATTACCAGAATTAAAATTTACCGTATTTCTGGCTCTATGCGGGCACCAGAATTCTCTAAAATTTTCACGGAAGCGCTTGGTAATGATTTAGGACGAATTAACCATAAAGTTTGATTTTATAATGTATAATAAAATGTGATAAAATTTGGTAGTTTTATCATGATACCTTAGAGAACGGTATAAAAAACAGTTATTTTACTAAATTTACTTTTCAATTTGTATCTTTTTACTAAATGTGTGGTAATAAGAACTATAAGTAAATCAAAATTTCCTGTAAATCGATACTACACGAACGGAAAAATTATCGAATGAATGGCTTAAATACTTTGGTTTTTATTACCGAAATGATATTTTTGCGTACCAGAAATGTAATTACTAATTTTTAAAATACAATTAATAATAATAATTAATTGTAATTTTTCCAGAATTTTTTCTTTGTGTACACATAAGTAAACTGAATTGTTTATAAACCCATCAAACTTTCTAATTCATAAAAACACTAATGGATTTATGTTGAATAAACTATTTCAAAAATTATCTGAAATTTCGAAAAGAGATTTACTATAATTTAATATTTTCTTGTTTAATTATGTATAATATATAAAAATAGGAAATAATTTGGATTTATCTCATTTTTAATATTTTAACATTACATGAACACCTCTGAACTATACGTTTATCGTTCATACGTTGTTAGTTAAATTTCCTTCTTATAAGCAAAACTCCTTCATACCAATATTAATTGCTTACTAATTACTTATTTTACTATTTATTTTAAAGTAATCGATAAATCAGTTTCGAGCTTATTTATGAATTTTATTCTTATATTTAAAAGCAGTTTTGAAACTTTTATTACCTGTTCTTCACCAGCCAATAGTCTAGGCCATCTTCAGTTCCGTAACCAATAGCCAAAACACCGTGATCCAATTGAGAAGTACTGCAGCTGGATTCATCGTAAATTCCATCTCTGGAACACAAATTAAAATTAATCACTAAATTATTTAACTATTTAACAATGCAATTTCTGAAATCATTTATAAAATTGCAAAAATTAGCAGTAAACTAACAATGATACAAACTTAAACATAAATCCAATTAATATCTAGAATTAACTGTTCTACTTATACGATTTTAATGTAGTTTATATTTATTGTGTGACCCCATAGTTAAGATTTTGTACGACGCATAGATCACTTAGAAATAAAAATATTATGCTTTTTGGTATCAAAGCAATGACTAATTTTAAATTAAAAAATGTAGTATGTGTCTCAAATTGCAATTCCATATTTTCATACACTCTATTACAGGCCTAAATTTATCAATTAATTTCTTTTTACATTTTATTCGCTTAAAAATAATCCAAAACATATAGTATAATTGTATTTTAAAAATTTACTTTTATTTACTCTACAATATAAAATTTCACTTGAAAAACTAATATTTCCCAAGTACAATTTTTGAAAAAAATATGCAAATTTAGACTAAAGACTTTTATAAAAACGCTTTTTTGTAAGTCATAATATTAATTTTTTTAAGGAAAGTAATTTCTAAGTGAAATTATGAATATTTTTAAACTTTCTCTGAAAACTAATTTGCTCATATTACAAGTGAATAAATATTTTGAACTACTTGATATTGACTGTTTGCAAAGATTTGAAAATTATGCAAAGAAGACAATTAATTCTATCAACGAAAAGAAAACAATCAGGCATAAAAATTAAATAAATTATTTTTTTAGTACTTAAATTATTTTTCGTATAAAATCTAAAAAGATTCAAGGTGACAATTTTAACCTTTTCCTTGTTCTTTTTTTCAATAGAGTAATATGAAAAACAAAAATTGATTTAAAATAATAACATTTATTCTATACGTACTGATAGAGCTGGAAACTAAAGTTGCTTGCATCAATGGCGACAGAAACAGGTCCTACGGTGGCAACAGCTGTTTTAAGAGCGTTCTCATCTCCGGTAGGAATATCAACATATCCAGTAACAGTTGCTCCAACATTGGCTTTCGTGAAAAGACATTTTGGACCATCCTAAAATAAATAAGTTTATAAATGCCTAAATCACATTTTTTAACATTATTTTAAAAATTTATAATAGCTGTCTTTGCACCAACCGAAAATTTCAAAAAAGAACTTCTCTAAATATTACTTTAATTAGAAAAAGTCCAAAAATTTGAAAGACAATACAGCGTTTTGTCCACGAAGAAATAAAATAATAAAATATGAATTTATAAAAAATATATTTCTTAAATTATGTTTACTAAAATATTTTCGAAATGCAAATTAATTTATTTTATAAAATTATGAATTTTGTTTAGGATATTGTAAAAATCCACTTTAAATCGAATTCAAAACGTCTACATTCAAATCACACACTTCATTCTTTCTACAATAAATGAAATATAAAGAGAAAACAATCTATGAAATTAACTCACAAAGAAAATGTAACTCCTATGAACCTGTGATATTTTTTAGAGCAGATACTACCTTGTTTTAAATGGCGTAAAAACGTAAAATCCATTTTTACCGTAAAATATATCATAATTTTTATCGTAGTAAGTTTTTAGTTAGAGTAATTCCATGAATTACCGTAAAAATTAAGATATATAAAAATTTTTGTTCCATAACATGTGCAAAAGGGGATTTTACGGTAAAAAAATACCGGCACCCTGAATGCTGATACTTTTTATCGTAATTCGTTAAGTTAAATAGTGGGCACTAGCAAATATANTTTTTTTTTTTTTTTTTTTTTTTTTTTGCTTATGACATTACATATTTAATATCGTTTCAACAGCTTCAAAATAATACTGCTTAGGTGCTTTTTTTTTTACAAATTAAAGAGAAGTTTTACCTCAGCTGTGTATGGGTAGGATGCTTCAGTATCAATTCCTTTGTTCTGTTTGATGTATTGGAAAGCTGAATCCATAAGACCTCCTTCACAACCCATGTTACCTTAAAGAAAATATGGCAAACCATTAATTTAAATCTTCTGATCAAAATGAATTTATAGCCATGTTATATTAACTACGTATATATTTATTAATTTAAAAAAATTACCAAATTTATGGTATACTTTGTATTATATTTAAACAAATAAAAAAAATTTACAAATTTTAATTCACTTACCTTCCGGTTGAGAGCAATCTACGAGGTTCTGTTCACTGAGGGAAACCAAGTTTCCGGTCTTCTTTTTGTGCTGCCCTTCAAGAGAACCGGTGGTAGAGAAAGCCCAGCAAGAGCCACATTGTTGCTAATTAAATAAAAATCTCTAAATTAGTAATTCTTGCGTTAAATATCATGATAGTTTCTTGTTTCAGTTATCACTTTCCATTTAGTAAATTATGATAAAGGTAATTTCAAAACTTAATTTTTTATGTTCCAATAAACTGTAAGTTTTGTTGCAAGAATGCAACATTTTGTTTATATTGAAACAAAGCAAAATGAAAGAGCTGGAAAAAAATTTGAGAAAAGATGTAATTTTATACCTGGTTTTTGATTGGGGTGACCAGTCCTTGTTTCCTCCAATCGACAGTGTCGGGAATGTGAACGTTAGAGGGTTCTACCCAGGCACTTCCTTCTCCACTTCGGACTCCGCTGCTTTTAAATCCGTTAAAGTGCTTTACAAATTCTTCGTGACTCTGAAATAAGAAATTTAAGGATGCCAAAATTAAGATCAAAATGTTCACTTTGTGTAATGTAGAAATTAAATAATAAATTGAGGACATTTATATTTGCGTGAAGTATAAACTTACTAAGTTTAAAACGGTAAATTTAAATAATGTTTATAAATAAAAAGTTGTAAATGTTTGATTTCTGTAATGCGTAAATTAAATAATAAAATGAAAGCTCTTAATTTGCGTAATGTGTAAACTGAATAAATAGAAAGTGTTTAACCAGTATAATGTGTATAAATAATAAGTTGAAAGCATTCTATTTGTACAATGTTTTCATTAAAAAATATACTGAAAACGTTTAACTTGTATAATATTTACATTCAATAATAAATTACTTTTACGAACAGTTTTTAAAAAGGAAAGTACCACGTGTTTCTATTAGAACAAGCTGACTCAATCACTTTTAGAATTATCTTTTTTTTTAATAATAAATTAATTACAGGTCTATAACTTACCATGTATGACGAAGTGTATGTTAAGTATGTCAAACCATGTAGCTACATATAAAACACATATTTTAATAATTCTATGAAAACTTACCATATCTGCGTATTCATTAATGCCTTTTCTGTAAGAATGAATACCCAAATCAGCTTGAAGGTTGTGTTTTATGATATCTGTGACAGCTCTTTCCCAAACAAGACGTCTTGAAAACTCTTCTCTGCTACCATAGTTTTTTCCATAGATTCTCTATAGAAATACGTCACATTTTAACAACCTCGAAAGTAAATTCTGCTAAGGATTACATTTTTAAAAAAAATAAAGTATAGCTTAAAGCATTTTTTTATATTAAGCTATGTTATTTTTTCTTTAAACTTTCTAGTTTTTAATGACTAATTATACACATGAGCTATGTATGTGCTAAACTTATGATTTCATCTCCCGACTTCATCATATGCAATAAACAAACTTTTAAAGAAAAATTAAATTTTAGTTAGTCTTGAAATACATATGAATACCTCATAAATCTTTAAAAAAATTTCATATAAATTAAATAGAATAATAAGTTAATATTATAACAGAATAATAAGTCACTATAATAGAATAATAAATAATATAATGGAATAATAAGTTAAATAGAATTAATTAAATGTGCAAAAGAAATTTTAATGTTAAACAGTCGAGACTAATCAGAACGGATTAATGGATTTGGTATAGTATTTAAAATTAAGTGAATATTGTTTACATTTATTAATTACATTTATTAATATATTAATTATACAATTTTAAAAAAACAGTTTTTAAACTTTTAATCTAAATTTTTCGAGTAACATATAATACTGTTTACTAAAAATATTAATAAAAAAATTTAGTTTTGTGTTAATAGAACAATATTTAATATCAACACAAATTCCCAGCTGCTGTTAAAGTTATAATTTAATTAAACATATAAATTCTGACGTATTTTTTTTCTGCACACTATATAAATATCAAATAATTATTTTTAACTTCCTTATCAAACTCCTAAACCTTAAAATGACTGACCAAATTATATTTATTTTGAAACATTTTCATTGTAATCATTTAAAAAGCCTATTAAACATATTTATTATAGCTTAAAATTTTTCTTTTACGAATGACCATTGGATTATACAATCCTCATTGATATTACTTTTACATTATTGCGTTATAGAATTTAGAATAACTAATAAAAACACGAATAATTTCAACACATTATTATTCTTTATTTACCTCTATTGACGTTAGTTAAATGCAAATGTAGCTTACCTTGAAATTTTCCCAATGTTCATTCAATTGAGGATTGTAAGGAAATTTTAGTGCTGTAGCAACAGCAATAAAAGCAAAAATTGCCAAGTATTTCATCGTAATCCAATATAATACTGAAAAATAATAATAAATAATTTGACATTCACTTAAGCTCAAAATGCACACTTAAAACAATAATATTTATTCAATACGATTTATATTATTTCATTATCAATAAATAGAAAAGGTAAATCTTTAAGTAACTGATTAAATATTTGAAATAATTTAGTGAGCATACATTAGATTTTATCTTACGAGAAAAATAAATGTATTATTGTTTTTTTATTTAAATGTGAAATGTAAGCAAATTAAATCCCTAAAGTCATTACTTATTATATTTCATTGATTAAATTTTTATAAAAGCTTTAGTAAAAAAAAATTTTTGCAATCATCTACTAGTTATTTTTTTAATTAATTTACAAGATAAATATCAAATAATTAAACTATCAAGTTTATTAGTTTAAAATATATTACTTTGTAAAAAAATATTAACCATTCGGATGAATTAATTTTTTAAGTACCATGATATATTGCAACACTTTTTTAAATGTAACTTCAATTGGCATTGTTGAATAATTAATTCATATTTTTCTTATATGAGTTTTTATTATTTCAGAGCATCTCATTTCTATTGAACAAAATTATATACAATTCATAATCAGAACCAAATTTTTAAATAGAGACTAAAAAATTGCTTTAGTAAATATATTCTAAAGTAGTAATTGGACTATAACAATTCAGTTTTATTATTATTAGCCTTATTTTATATTCGCTACAAATCTCATAATTATTATTCTACTTAAAAATTTACGACATAAACAATTTTGCTAACCGAATTGTTAAAAACTTATTACATATAATCTAAGTTATAATTACACATTAAGTATATTACATGAATTTTAAACTTTATTCCTCATACTGAAAACTTTGCTAGCCTATGTTATTATAATGATAATCAGTTTCTTTAGCTAATGATTGAAACTTCCTCGATTATAAATCTAAAAAACATATTCAAAAGAATCAAAATAATTTATTTTGGAAAATTAAATTTATATTTTATTTTTTTAAGTAGAGCTTAGATAGTTAGATGATTGATAAATATTTTTGAATAATTTTTTCGATGGTAACAAATATAATATTGAAATCAAACACTGAACGTTATAAGTTGGTTGTTTTAAAATGAAAAGAGCAAAAAGCATTATGAAAATGAATAATAAAAAGTAATGCTTACGCTAATACTTTATTTGAACAGAACCTTCGTGTCGATGCTACTTGGATTTAATTCCTCATATTTATACCTGTTTTATCAGGGATAAATTTAAGTAAAACAGTAAAACTTTCTCTTGTTTTATCTAAATCAGTTGATATAATTTTCAGATATCAATGCATTTATCAATCGTGAATTCTATTTAAAAATATTTCTCTAATACGTGACTAGGTTTGTAGTGATAATAAAATGAAAAGTAACGTAAAATTGGGTAAAATTGAAAAACAAATGATATAAGCTTATCACATTTAACATATGATTCGCTTTAAGCGCGTGATATANTTTTAATCTAAATTTTTCGAGTAACATATAATACTGTTTACTAAAAATATTAATAAAAAAATTTAGTTTTGTGTTAATAGAACAATATTTAATATCAACACAAATTCCCAGCTGCTGTTAAAGTTATAATTTAATTAAACATATAAATTCTGACGTATTTTTTTTCTGCACACTATATAAATATCAAATAATTATTTTTAACTTCCTTATCAAACTCCTAAACCTTAAAGTGACTGACCAAATTATATTTCTTTCGAAACATTTTCATTGTAAGCATTTAAAAAGCCTATTAAACATATTTATTATAACTAAGATTTTTTGGTTTTTACGAATGACCATTGGATTATACAATCCTCATTGATATTACTTTTCCATTATTGCATTATAGAATTTAGAATAAATAATCAAAACACAAACAATTTCAACGCATTATTATGATTTATTTACCTCTATTGACGTTAGTTAAATGCAATTGTAGCTTACCTTGAAATTTTCCCAGTGTTCATTCAATTGAGGATTGTAGGGAAATTTTAGTGCAGTAGCAACAGCAATAAAAGCAAAAATTGCCAAGTATTTCATCGTAATCCAAAATAGTACTGAAAAATAATAATAGATAATTTAGCATTCACTTAAGCTCAAAATGTGCATTTAAAACAATAATACTTATTCAATATGATTTATATTATTTTATTTATATTATTTTATTATCATTAAATAAAAAAGGTAGAACTTTAAGTAACTGATTAAATATTTGAAATACTTTAGTGAGCATACATTATATTTTATCGTACGAGAAAAATAAATTAATTAATATTTTTTCATTCAAATGTGAAATGTAAGCCAATTAAGTCCCTAAATCCATTATTTATTATATTCATTGATTGAATTTTTATAAAAGCTTCAGTAAAAAATTATTTTCCCATACAATCATAGACTAGTTATTATTTTAGTTAATTTACAATATTAAATACGTTTAAATATCAAATAATTAAGCAAGCAAGTTTATTAACTTAAAATAAACTACTTTGTAAATAAATATTAACCATTCGGATGAATTAATTTTTTAAGTTGCATGATATATTGCAACACTTTTTCAAATGCTACTTTAATAGGCATTGTTGAATAATTAATTCTTATTTTTCTTATATTAGATTTTATTATTTAAGAGCATCTTATTTCTATTGAACGAAATTAGATACAAATCATTTTCTGAACCAAGTTTTTAAATAGAGGCTAAAAAACTGTAGTAAATATACTCTAAAATAGCAATTAGACTATAACAATTTAGATTTATTATTGTTAGCCTTATTTTATATTCGTTACAAATCTCACAGTTAATATTCAGCTTAAAAATTTAGTACATAAACAATTTTGCTTACCAAAAATGTTAAAAACTTATTACATATAATCTAAGTTATAATTTCACTATAAGTTTATTACATGAATTTTTAACTTTTGTCCTCAAACTTAAAACTTTATTAGCCAATGTTATTATAATGATGATTATTTTTATTATCCAATGATTGAAACTTGCTCGATTATAGATCTAAAAAACATATTCAAAAGAATCAACATAATAAATTTTGGAAAATTAAATTTATATTTTATTTTTTTAAGTGGAGCTTAGATAGTTAGATGATTGATAAATATTTTTGAATAATTTTTTCGATGGTGACAAATATAATATTAAAATCTAAACCCTGAATGTTATAAGTTGGTTGTTTTAAAATGAAAAGAACAACAAAAGTATTATAAAAATGAAAATAATAAAAAGTAATGCTTACGCTAATGCTTTATTTGAACAGAACCTTTTGCTTGTGGATGCTACTTGGATTTGATTCCTGATATTTATACCTGTTTTATCAGGGTTAAATTTCAGTAAAACCGTAAAACTTTCTCTTGTTTTATCTAAATCAGTTGATATAATTTTTAGATATCAATACAATTATCAATCATGACTTCTATTTTAAAATATAACTCCAATGCGTGACTAGGTTTGCAGTGATAATAAAATGAGAAGTAACGTAAAATTGGGTAAAATTGAAAAACAAATGACATAAGCTTATCACATTTAACATATGATTCTTTTTCAGCGCGTGATATAATGTGCTTTACCACGGTTTTAAGGGGCTCAGGAGATTTTGATCTCGCGGAGAAAAAAACTATGAATAACTTTTTTGACCTAATCTAAATTAAAACTTAGGGTTCTGAATTTTTTGTAAGAGTTTAATATGAGCACAGATATTATTCAAATGCAAACGTTTTCGAAAAATACTTCAAAAACATTTTATCATTTAATTTATTTAGAGCTAAATACTATTTCTTTTTGTGCGCATAATTTTACGATATTAAGTTTTAAAAATCATGCTAATGACTTAAAAAGAGTTTCAATAGGCAGTCAAATATGTTTTTCAACCATAGAGGCAAAAAAACTGAAAAATAAAAAGAATTTCCCAAAAGTATTCATATTGTTTTTCGAAGTTTCTTAAAAAATAATGATAAAAATAAATAATTATTTTAACCAAAACCATATATGAAATATTTACCTATATTCATGAGTTAGTAATGAATTCAGGCAGCATATGATATTCTAATAAATTATCAAGCTTTAATTTGCCTTAACTTAAGGGTTTAAAAGAATGTAGAATAAAAATATTGTCAAAACTACCAGAATATCGTAAAATTTACAGTGTCTCAGGCTGTATGAGGCCACCAAAAAGATCAAAAAATTTTATCGAAGCACTTTGGTAATGACTTCGGTAAAATCAACAGTGAAATGAGGTTTTATAATAAGTGAAAAAAATTTATTAATTTTTAAATTTTGGTGGCTTTATCATAGTACATTAGAGAATAGAATAACCATTTATTCGGCTAAATTTATTTTTCTGTTTTGTATCTTTTACAATATATGAAGCAATAAGAACTATAGTTTTAGAAACCAGAATTTCCGGAGAACCGTTACCATATGAACCGAAAAAGTAATAAATGAATGGTTTACCAGGATTACTTTTTTCATCAAAATTGTCATTATCGGTAATCTTATCAGAAATTTTTTTCTCCGTGTCTTTGTCTACCTTGATCTTTAATATTTTTTTACCACTTTATCTATGTTGATGCATAACCAGGCTCTTTTTTATATAATTATTATTTAACGCGAAATAATAAAATCTCAGAAAAAAAAATTTTAAAAAAAGTCTGTGCCCTCATTCTATAATTTTAAGTTTGATATAAAGGAATTGTGTTATTGACGCCTTTTTTCTAGCAATTCTGTTAAATCTTTGTGTTATCTCTAATTTACCCCGCATACACTTTAAATATCCCAGATCAAATAACGGTAAAAGTTACCGATACTCAGGGTGACCGCCCTATTTATAACTATTATTAACTTGTTATGAAACACAAATATCTGATATACCGTAACAGTTTTACAGTAATAATTTCCGTAAAATCACTCAATCAATAATTTAAATAAATGTTGCTGTAAAAACTACAGTATACTATTTTACGGTAAAATGAATTTTACGAATTACGCACCCAAAGTGCCGGTGCTTTATGCCGTAATTATTCGTAATATTTTACAGTATTCGAGATAAGTTGACAAAATTAAAGTGGAATTTTTTAAATGCCATAAATTAAAAAATATTATTTTTTTATCATTAGGTGACATTGAAGCAAGTCAGCAGAATCATTTGGTTCATTTTATCATATTATTAATTAATTTTAAAAATAATGCGAAATGCTACATGTTGGAAATTACAAACTTTTTTCGTATTTATTGATATAACTTCTTTGTGTTGAATTTAATTTTAATAATTATGTTCCTTTCACTTTTCACTTTTGGTTCACATGCAATTCTTTTAAGTTGAACATAGATAAAAAATTGATAAAAATTTTGGTTAAAAAAAATTAAAAATATATCGATAAAAAGATATTTTCCAGCTGTGGGAATTAGCATAATCAGTGAGCTTTACGTTTTTACATGCTTTCCTTATCACTTTCACTTTGATAAGAAATGTAATAAGGTTATGTCGTCCCTAACCTTATTAAAAAAACAATGCTATTGCAATGTTTAACGTTTTTAATTTTTACATAACCTTAATATCCTTACTTAAAATTAGTTTTGAACGAAAAAAAATTATGCATTTTTTTTACATGAATTAAGTAGCTTTTTGTATAGTTTTCAGCAGTGGGCTGACCATAATACTGCCAAATTTATTTTAAAAAAAGAAGCAAAAACTGTCCTAAATGTTAAAAATAACTTATTGTTTATTTGTAATTACATATCAAGTTACTTACATTTCTGAATTATAACACATTTTCTTTACCTTGCCGCTTAGAAAAAGTGCTTTGCACTGATTGTGTTACTAGCTTTACTTTGAATGTTATTAAATATTAAAAATTAGATCGCATACGATTTATTTTCAAGTTATATGAATTATCAAAATAGTTTAAATGTACTTAATAAGTTTTGCAAAACAGCGAATCTTATTTTTATGAAAGTATCATCAATTCTGCTAATTATGAATGATTTTTTAAATGTGTTACAAGAAGCAGTGTTTAAGTAGATAGAGGAAAAGCTTTATCAACATTACTTTTTTTCATCGCTCCTCAATACTCTTAATGAAATCAATTTTTATAATGTTTCTCAAACTAAACATTTAATGTTTTACGATACTTACTTCCTTTCAATGCAACCTTATACTTATAATATGTCCGTAATCCATCTGTGATTTCGGCAATTCGACTAAATTTTAATTATAATAGATTCGTTTTTTCTGGATTCGTAAAAAAATTTTTTAGACCAATATTGGATAAATCGTCAAACTTCACAGTACTTCCCTCCTCCCAGAATTATAACTATGATAGAATTCGATGTATGAATACCACTAGTTGAGACATTGCTGTTTTTGTGCGAAGCCGGGAGAGCTGTATTAAGATCACCGTACTTTTTTTGCTGATCGTGAGAGCTGTACTAAGTTCACGGTCGTGGTAGCTCCTGTTTTGCCTTTAGCAGTCGAGTGTGTACGTTCTACGTTGTGTGTGATCGAGACTGAGAAGCAACAGCGTGAGGAGGACTATGTCGCAGTCACAAGTAGCAAGTCAATTGTTCAATGTGGACCATCCATCGGAGTAGGCGCGCGTGTTCAGATCGAAGTGGGCGTTTCTGCAAAAGTAAGTGTGTTCACATCAAGTTCGGGTCACCAATGTGGGGAGAGTAGATATCGACTATGTCAACCTTCATCTATGAAAAGGTACCCCATCATAGAATCGAGATATCATGTGTTATATACAAGTGAATTGTAATTGTAATTTTGTAGTGGTAGATACACTACATCTCCACAAATGCATTAGAGGATTTTTTTTTCTATTTCAAGTGAGAAAATTTTTGAATATTTAAAAATTTATTTAGGTCTGCATTTTATTAATTGTCTCTTTATTTTTATATCTTAAAATGAGTTTCTACGATGTTTTCCCTTTTTTCAATTGCGAAATCAATCGGTAGACCCAATTTACTTGAAATTTTGTAAAAATGTTTTCAACATAAGTGTTTAAAACCTACAATTATTAATCAAAACTCCCATTTCATTATACCACAAAATTAAAAGAATATTTGTGTTTTTGAACGTTTTTGTTAAATACGCAGCAATATTAGCCATAAGTTATTTAAAAAGTAATAGTTTGTCCTCTGTGTGATATATTTCTTAAATTAAACTTTTACAAACGTAGTAGAGCAAAGAAATTCCAAAAGATATATAATTATAATAGTTTGTAACAAAGTTATGTATGCTTTTTTCAAAAAATAACTAACAAACTTAACTTATAAATTCAGTAGAACAAGCAAATTTTAAAAAATATATAGCATATAATTTAAATAATATAATTATAATAATAGTTTACAACAAAATTATGCATGCTTTTTTTAAAACATAACTAAATTTTAATCCCTCTAACCCTTTACAGACTTAGAAAAATAACTTTTTAAATTTCAATTTGTTAATGTTATGTTACAGTATCTAAAACATAATATCACAAAATTAAAAATTCCAAACTAAAAATTTTATATTTCCTTTCCAAAGGTGTTAAAATGGTTTAAAAAGAAGATAAATTTTTAAAAATATATATAGCAAAAAAAAAATTTTTACTACTGAGTGTTACAAATGTACTTCCGACTTGATAATTACATGTTAGCTTAAGTTTCAAGAGATTTCGAAGAAAACTATTCATATGATTAAAATTTTATGGTTTAAAAAACATATGAAAAGATACCGTTGTATGATAAATATGGTGTATGATAAATATGGTGTATGATAAATAGCAGTATACTAATTGTTGTTGTTGTCGTCGGCCATTAAGGCAGAGGGGGAGTGAATTTTTGCTTTCCAGTGGCTCCATCTATGGCCAAGAATTCGACTTCCGCCACACTCATACGTCACACCCGTTTATAGGGAAGATCCTTTCATACATCCATTCATACACACATCGTAATTTTGACCTGAACCAAAGGACAATCAATTTCCAATTCGGTTACCTAGGAGGTATTGTTTGTTATGGGAACAGGAAGGACTTTGTGACCCGACAGATCTAAGGAGCACCAGTCACCAATTATTACCCGGAGAGTCATCGGCCGGCTGGATTAGAACTCCCGTTCTCGCATACGTGGGTCCAACACCCTGCCAATCACGCTACAAAATCCAATAAATAATTTTCATTGAGCATCAGCGGACTTTTACACTTATTATTTTGCAGAGCCGCTATGACTCAGGGGATGGAGCCTTCGCCCTCCATTGAGGTGAACCGGGTTCGAATCCCAGTCGATACGAATTTCGCATCCGGCTAGCACTGACCACAGTGCTGACGTGAAATATCCTCAGTGGTAGATAGATCATTGGTTAGAGTCCCCTTG